TCGGGTTCAAGTTTAGGGTTTCGGGGTCAGGGTTTCAGGTTGTAGGGTTTGAGGGTACTAGGGTTCAGGGAGAGGGTTTAGGGTGCAGGGTTTCAGGAAACCCTAAACCCAAAACCCTATAAACCCTAAACCCTAAACAACTGGTGGTTTGCCACCTGGCACGAAAGCTTATAGGGCTGAACCCCCTAAACCCTAAACCCTAAACCCTAAACCCTAAACCCTAAACCCTATAGCATCCCCTGAGGCCTTGTGACCTCTAAACGCACTGAGCTGCGTCTTTGGACTTGCCGGCAGGACTGAGGGTTTACTCCAAGCTCTTCCAAGCTCCAAGAACACCTTCAACCTAGTGGTAGCCCTGTAACAATCTTATAATACAGGGCACCCTTTTGGGGGCCTGGTTGCTTTGTAAGGGAACCTGGAAGCCCAAAAAAAACCTTAAACCCTAAACCCTGAACCCTAAACCCTAAGAAGGGTACCACTGGGCTACCCAGACCTTCAACCTCTGAAGAGTGCGGGTTGGCGATTGGGAGGGAATCTCGGCCGAGGCACACCCGCTGAGAGCATCAGCTCCTGGCTTTCTTTGTGGGACATGGGTTGGGATGTTCCCCCTTATACTAACAGCACCTGAGTAGGGATTCTTGTACCCCCTATGATATTCCCTATTGAATTGGGGACTGCTAGTATAAGGGGAACATCCCAAGACATGAGGATTTAAGTCTGCCGCATTTCTGCTGCGCCAAAGAACAACCGCAAAGCCCTGCCCGGGGCAATTGAATTGGGATGTGCACGGCGTAGGGCAAATCTATAGTATTTAGGGGGGGGGGGGGTAGTAGGTTGGAAACTGTCTAAACGGCCGGCTTCCTCTGTTCTTAGCCCCCTAAACCAAAAATCCAAACGACCCGAAGAAACCCTAGAAAACCATGAAACAGATTCAACACCTAAATCCAAAATAACGAGGAGAGCGAATACCCGAAGAGTAGGGCTAAGGAGTCATAGTTTAACAGCCCCTTGTTTACAACAGCTGCGTGTGCAAAGTGTCATTCCCTCCGAGCATCCACACCCTGCAGATTTCGAACCTTTTTGGGGATGGCCACTCTAGCACTCTGGGGATACTCCGGGGTGGGATACGGGTCATGGGCGAGGAGCAGACCGGGCAGGAAGGAAGAATTTAGTTCAAAGTCGAACAACCCCACACCGAGGGTGGGTGAAATAGCCCAACACGTATTAGAGTCAGCCTCAGGTTTAGACCTCAGAAACAGCCTTGGGTTAGGGCTCAGAGTCAGCCGCTTTAGAAAGTTAGGGGTTTAGGGACCTTGAATCCCAAACCCCGAAGTCGTAAATCCCAAGCCCCAACATGGACCCCTCAACCCAAACAATGCAAACACATTGAGGACCTGAAACCTTACCCCGTCCCGCCCGGCCTTCGCCTCCCTGCCCCTAAGCTTCACTTCACTTCACCTGCCCCTAAGCCCTAATTAAACCCTAGACCCTAGAACCCTACACCCTAAACCCTAAAAACACACCAAAAAACTCAAGCCCCATGAGCACCCCGCGCCTTGGGGCTGGGTATGGGCAAGGTCCCTGAGCTCCACCTCCACAGCGCTGCGACTTCAGAAGGTTTAAACCGGGTTTAGGGTTTAGGGTTTAGGATTTAGGGTTTAGGGCTTAGGGATGGGGTTCAAGGGTCAAGGGTTTAGGTTTTTGCGGCCTTTCTTGGAAGGTCCAGGGTAGCCCCTAAACTCTAAACCCTAAACCCCAAGCAGGATGTCTTTCAACAAAAACGGGCTTCAAGGGCGCTCCTTCGGGTTTAGCGTGTGGGGCTTTCGGATCCTAAGAGTATGATTTACGGAATCTTTCCTTGTCCCCATATCGGTAATAATCGCCTAATAACCTAGCAATATGAACAAATAACAGCAACAGCAATATATTACTATTGACGAAGAATACAACAACATACTTGCTTGAGACAGGCTCGGACCTCAACTCGCAGCATGGATAGTCTTAAGCACTGCCTGGGGGACTTTTGCGACCAAGCATTACAGGGTTGCTCTTTAAAGGTATAGCACGGTGGCCCACGTAAACCCATTGTTTAGGGTTGCAGGTTGCTAAACCCTAAACCCTTAACCCTAAACCCTTAACCCTAAATCGTAAACCCTAAACCCTAAACCCTGAACCCTAAACCCATGAAAACCGACACCCTAAACACTAGAGCATCTGAGCACAAGTCTCAAGGGACTAAAGGAGGGGCCCTTACAAGGGTTTGTTTGGGGGTTATTTAGGGCTACTCAGGTATATAGGGACTCTATAAGGTATATGTAGGGGTTATACAGGGGAATAAGAACCCTAAACCCTAAACTCTAAACCCTAAACCCCTGAAACTCCCGCCAGGCTCCCCAGAATAAGATGAAAGGTCCCTTCTAGGGGTCCCTCCGTTTACCCCTTCAAAAAGTCGAGGGACATCGGCGCCGCGGGCTCCAGCGGCCTCATCGCCTGCAGCGCCTTCGAAGCATAAGTGGCCCTTAAGGGGCTCAGCCTGAACTCCCTACACCCTACAAACCCTAAACCCTAAATCCTAAATCCTAAACCCTAAATCCTGTATCCTGGAAACCTAAAACCTGGAAAAGGCTTCAACCCTCGAGCCCCAAAGCCCACCAGAACGCACCCTAGAACCTCAACGCTATCCCTAAACCCTAAACCCTAAACCCTAAGCCCTAACCCTAAACCCTAAGCCCTATATAAGCTACTAGGCCATGCCGCGCACCCACATACTATAGGGGCCTGAATACTTCGAAGAGGGGTTTCTGGACTACTAGAGTCTAATTTATGTACGGACCATAAGGGACTACTCTTAGTAATCGTTCCGGCCTCGATATTATTCCGGGGTCTTATGGCAACACAGCTCCAGTCAAGCAAACCTAAACCCTAAACCCTGAAACCTGAAACCCTGAACCCTAGACCCTAAACCCTAAACCCTAAACCCTAAACCCTAAACCCTGAAACCCTGAACCCTAGACCCTAAACCGCCTGAGCCAGGGCTTGCATCCTGGGAAGCCCAGGAGCTGCTGAAACTCCGATGAAGCACAGGGTTTACTTTTGAGGACTTCAGGCGGTTTAGGGTTTCGGAGTTTAGGGTTTCGGGGGTTTAGGGTTTGGAAAAGGAGAAGGAGGTCTTTTTTTTAAATCCCCGCAATACTCAGCGCTGACCCCTGAACACCCTGAACCCTAAACCCTAAAACTTCCCTAAACGCTAAACCCTAAACCCTAAAACCCCCCTGCATGAGACAGCTCGCCACCCACCTGGAGGTGGCTCAACGTAGCGCCTCTGCAGCCGCGCAGTGTGCACAATGCATGAACCTCCAACGCCTAAAGCCCTGAAGCTTAGGGTTTAGGGTTTAGGGTTTAGGGTTGAGGGTTGAGGGTTTAGGGTTTAGGGTTAGGGTTTAGGGTGTAGGGTTAGGGTGGCCAAACCAATCTTATCATACCTTATATTATAGCCTGGTAGACCCAGAGCCCTATGCCGGCAGAGGAAGTGGATGAACAAGTATTGTAATACCCTCAACAGACAGACGCATCTCGGTCTCCGTAAGCGCCACTAAGTCCTAAAGCCTCCTCCCCAGACAAGAAACGCAAAGGCCAGAAAAGGCTTCTCAATCTTCAAGGGTTTGTCATAGACTTCCCAAAGGGTCCATGTACCCGCATAAGTATATGCTTGGGCCTTAAAGCGCTTTCTATATAGCAGCTTTAGGGCTATATGCTGAGTAGGTACGTCAGGGCTTACCAGGACGGGCTATTATACCCTATAACCCCCCCCCCCAAAAAAAAAATGCCCTTTATAGGGTTGATTGTGGGGATTATAGGGCCCAATACCCTAAACCCTAAACCCTAAACCCTAATCCCTAAACCCAGGGGTTAGGGAGTTAGGGTCCGGAGATTGGTGACACGTGCCGCAACTAGGAAGACCTGAGGTCGCCATCCGCTGCCCGGCCCGCGGACGCGCACACCATGTGGCGCACAGGGCTTAGGGTTTAGGGTTTAGGGTTTAGGGTTTAGGGTTTAGGGTTTAGGGTTGAGGGTTGAGGGTTGAGGGTTGAGGGTTGAGGGTTGAGGGTTGAGGGTTGAGGCTTTGGGGGTGGGGAGGAGGGGCGTAGCTGAGAAAGTGAGGCTTTGGCTGTTCGAGAGGTCCGCCATGGTTCGGGCAAAGGCTACCCTAAAGCGGGAGAGGGGTGTAAGGGTTTAGGGTTTAGGGTCCCATAGCTTCGCCAAGGGGTTTAGGGTTTAAGGTCAGGGTGTAAGCTCAGGCCTTAGCTTGCTTGGGGGCTTAAGGGTTCCGAGCATGGAGTTCAGAATGCAGTGCTGCTTTGCTTGCACACGACCTTAAGCAATCGAGCGCGCCAGCAAACTGAGCACAGCAGCTCTGATGATGTGTGCTCCCGGGCTCCAACTGCCTACTCTACGAGGGGCTAGTTGCCCTGTTCACAAAACCCGATCGCCTAAACCCAAACAAGATGAACAGGTTATCATTTTCCCCATGGCTTGGGGACAAAGAGCTGTCATCTGGGGACTGATCACGCTCAGAGAGCAGAGGGTTTGAAAAGGGGCTTCGGGCTTCGGGCCTGAGGCCTACTTCGGGTTTGGGGCTGAGAGCTGAAGGTTTTCAGCTAGGGGCTTCACTATAGGGCATCGGGATGGCAGCCTAGGACCCCTTAACTGCTGTGATACCTTCTAATACTATGGATGGCGGTTGAGCAGACGCATCCTACCGGGCCCTTAACTTGGGTCCCTTGTTATGTAACCCTTACATACACTATATGTAATACGGGCCCATACTTGGGATGCCTATAAAGAACGGTAATTAAGCCCTAAACCTGTGAGTTGGCTGGGTGAACTAGGGACAGCCCCTGGTCTGATCGAAACATGGGGGGGGGGGCTGGGGGACCCAAAACGCCTGAACCCTAAACCCTCAACCCCCCGAGATCAGCTTCTGAACTCAAGTTCCCGGCTTCCAATCCCCCTTTGGCAAGGCCGGGCTGAAGGACACTGGGACGCTCCTCTTAGTGGCTTCGTGGATTTTGGGGCTTCGGGGTTCAAGGCTTCGGGATTTGGGGGCTTTAGGGTTCCCGGATCACCCGTGACCTACGATGCCATGGACTCTTGATTTCGAACTTGCCTGCAGCAAGCCTCACTTCTACGTCGTGGATCGCTGATATGCCATCTTCAAGCAGCTGATGTGAAATTACGTTTACGTTTTGGATTGCGTCTATGTCGTGGATCGCCTCTACCCCGTCTTCAAGCAGATGCGAGATTATCTTTAACCTTTGGATTGCCTCTATGCGGTGGACTATAGCATCTTAAACAGCAGATGGTAGATTGTCTCTCTGGACTGCCTCTCTGTCGTTGGGTACTTCTATGCCAGCTTCTCTGGCAGCACCTGCTTTGACTTGCAGCTTTCTCTTCGCCGTTGTCAATCAGCAGGTCACGGTTCATCAGGACGCTGCCGAACTACTGACTGCTTAAAAACCCAAAAACTAGAACAACATTCTTCCTTATTAAGGGCAATAGAGGGATTATTGTTTGCTTGTTGGTTCTTAAGCAAATAGTAGCGAAGTCCCACATAGGGAGGCTTGCTTCCAACTTACCCTGGCTCACCTTGTTATGACACTGGAGGTCATCTGTGAGTCCTTTGGCTCCTTTGAGTTTTAGTACACCATCCAGGGGTTTAGGAGGCTTCTCATGCGCCTCCCAACAGGTCAGGACTGCATAGCCCCGCACACTAAACACAGGGATGGATCCTCCTGCTACATTACGTGAACAATTGCAGGACTATGTTCGATTCCACACCCTTTTGCAACCTCACCAGTTTAGCCTGCTATCCTCGAAATCCAATCCGCTAAACCCTTTAGCCCTCCTCCTAAACCCCTTCAAGAACCCTCCTAAACCCCCTTAAACACTAAACCCCAAACCCTAACCTTTTCAATTTCACCCTGAACCCTAAACCCTAAACTTACTAAACCAAACCCTAAACCCTAAACCCTAAACCCTAAACCATACGCTCTTAAACTTTCAAAACAAAAATTCTCAGCAGCTCCGGGGCTGCTGCAGCTTCAGAGGCAGCTTCACAAAGAGCGCCTCCATCGGCATGATAGGGTTTACAGGGTTTATAGGGTTTACAGGGTTTACAGGGTTTATAGGGTTTATAGGGTTTATAGGGTTTATAGGGTTTATAGGGTTTAGGGTTTATAGGGTTTAGGGTTTAGGGTTTGGGGTTTTAGGGTTTTGGGCTGAAAAGGACAGGCTGTTAGGCCTCATAACCCCCAGAATCAGCCCTCTGAAGGGCCTTTATTACGGGGGTTCTGGGGGTTCTAGCAGCCCATCCTGGTAGAGTCTTAGGGTTTTGCCAGAAGGTTTTGGGGGTGAAGGGCTTCAACTTACATCAGCCAAGGAAACACACTACGCTCCTCAAGAGAATTACACGCCAGCGGCTAGAATGAACATCAAAGCAAAAAAAAACTCAACCCAACGCTGACGCATGTCATTCACAGCACGTGTGAGCTCCTAAACCCTAAACCCTAAACCCTAAACCCTAAACCCTAAACCCTAAACCCTAAACCCTAGGGCTGTAGAGGTCAGGGTGCACGGGGCTTAGATGTACTTTTGGCCTGGGATCCCCAGAGTGCGAAGAGGGTAAGAAACCTAAAGCCTTTAACCCTATAGACCCTTCATCCAAAAAAACCTTAAGAAGGCCACTCTAAAAACTTACACGTAGTCCATGGAGTTGTGACAAGGGAGATGGTGGACTGCATACTGCTCACTATTTTATGGGCAACTTGCCAACATTCACAGGACTCCTGCGAGATGGGGGGGGGTGGTTAGCTACTTTAGGCTTATAGGTACTTTACACAACTGTTCTGAGAAACACCTGCTCTGACTGATACGGCCAACAAAGCATATGAAACCGTCATAGCCATTTAGTGAGTGTTGCGGCTTCCGGGTTTTCAGTTCTGGGATGCGTCACCTTCACATCCAAGTTGACGTGCGCCACAATGCTGTCTAAGTCCTGGCAACTGCTGGACGGGTCTCTCTTTTCCAAAGCTTCATGCAAGAGCTGTTTATGGTCCTTGATACCTTGGAAGTGATGCTGAATCACTTTTCGGGCCAAAAAAGCCTGACCAGTCGAGTCCAGACCCATACATCCCAAATCTGTGCTCCAGGTGACTTACTGGCGGCGAAACGCCATTCCTTCTGAGCATTTCATCAATACTCCCCTTAGAACCTCAATACAAATAATATGTTTAATATCCTCTTGGGGTTTATATGAACAAAAATCAAAAATAACTCCCAAGGGGGATGTAGTCATATTGTGCACCATAATGTGGCCCATCCTGGCCTGAAACCTCCCGGATACCAGGTGCCATGTAGTCGTGGAGATGTCATTACCCTAAGAGCCCAAGACCCAAGTTTCTAAGGTCTTTGGGCCCCAAGACAGCTGGAAAACTTTAAATTCTGGGGTCTCGGGCCCTTGTTAAGCCCCTATTGTTAAGCTTAAGGTGTTTTGTTTCTGCCAGGGTCTCTAGCAGCCGTCCTCATCCAAAGTGCCAGACAGCTGCGTCACCTCAGGCACTCGGCTCAGGATGATGTAGACGAGCGGCTCTCGCAATCATGGTCCCTCTTTGTGTATCCTAGTAAGGTTCCGCCATACAATAGGATTTCCAAGAGGGAAGATGTTTATGAAACAACTACTTTCGAGATGGAGGGTGTAACGTGCAGAGCATATTTGGGGTATCCCTTTTTGGTGCTACTGAGGCGCAAAAGCCCCGGAGGCGTGAACCCAAAACCCTGAACGGCCTATGTGAGTGCTTGGTACGTAAGTGCGAAGACCGAAACCTTCCCGAAAAAGTCCTGGTCGGGGTTCACCCGACTAACTATCGCCTAGAGCCCCCCCCAAGGCCGACCCCAAAACCCGAAAAGCCTGCATCGCCAAGGTCTCAAAACCCTGACCGCCCCACAAGCCACAAAGCCTACCCCTAAAACTGCCCAGGCGCAGGCCCTGAACTTCCGACTGAACTTCCATTACGAGCAGGAGTGCACTTAGCACACCAACAAGCATTAATTTGGGTTTAGGGTTTAGGGTTTAGGGTTTAGGGCTTAGGGTTCCCCACCTCGCCAGTCTGTGTCTCGGAAGCCTCGGTGGCAACAAGATTGAGGGTTTACAAGGCTCCCGAAGGGTCTATGTACCTCAGTGTGTGTGTATATATATACATCAAAAAGATGTATCTATGAATGAATATACATGTATATACTTGGGCCAGAAAAATCCCTATACAGGAAGTACTCTGTATTCTCTATTGAGGCACATGGACCCTAGGGACTTCGCCCTAGGCCCTAAAAATGGTTTCCTGGTCATTGAAAACCCTGGTGCTTACGCCAGCACATTCTCTGGGGCTTAGGGCTTTCAGGGTTAGGGCAAGTTTAGGGCTTTGTGGCTTTAGGGATTCCAGGGTTTGCGGCATACGGCTTGGCGTTTAAGCACCCTTAAGCACTGCACACTTACCCAGAAAGCCCCAGCCTCAAAAATGACGGCCGGATTCGTGATGCTGGGGTTCCTGTTGGGATGTTCCCCCCTACACTAACAGTCCTTAATGGGGACCATAATCGGGGGCACTATAATCCCTATTAAGGACTGTTAGTAGAACATCCCAAGCGAAGGTTCAGGGTATTGGGGTTTGGGATTCAAAGGGTTTAGGGCTTTGTTGGCCCTGTGCAGATCAGGGCTTGGGATTTTCGGGTTTCGGGCCTAGTGTTCTCAGGCTAATGGAATAGGGTTTGGGGTTCAGGTGCTACTGAGCGCAGCGCGTTCTTGAGGTGATCAGTCGGCTTGTTGCAAAAGGTGTTCTGCTCCATAACAGGAGGCATCTGGCGGAAGGAACACAAGGGAGAAAAACAAACATCCTAAATCCCTAAATTAACCCTAAACCCCCAAAACCTGAAAGCCTAAACCCCTAAACTTGGAGTCTCTTCTGGAAGCTTCCAGGCAGTTATGACCCACTGCAGCCTCTCGAACAGAGAAAGCACAGCTGAAACAGGGTTTAGGGTTCAGAAAACAACAGCCAAACAAAACCAGCTCTCCCCAGAAAAAAACTGCGGACACTGCAATGGCACTGGCGCAGCGAGGGACAAAGCCCCGAGAGAGTTGCCAGTCTTGGGCTTGCACCCGCAAAAACCCTAAGCCAAAATTTTTGAATATCAACATACTTCCGATCTCAGCGCCCTCAGCCCTAATCCAAAATTTCAGAAGTTCATCCATGTCGTTGGGCCCACAATCAGAGCGAGTTCTACAACGTTGTAGAATCTAGGGTTGCAACAAGGCACTCATTCTGGGGTTCTAGGGGGGTCTATGAGGGAACCTGACCCCACCCAAGCCCTAAACCTTCAGAAAACCAGTTGGATCAACCTGGATGTCCTAACTTCAGTACCTGAAGCCTCATCAGGTCTTAGGGTTGAGGTTTGGGAGGGCTTTAGCAGATTTAGGACAAGGAACAAGGATGTGAAAAACATGTACTTAACTGACTTCTAGCCAGGCTCATAAGAACCCACGAGGGCAGCTCCCTACACTTCCTCTTGTAGTACGGAAGCAGCAAGACAGTGCGCCCGACCGCTGCTGTTAATGGGGCCTCTTCCTGCTGCGTCAAGGGCGTCTCTGCCAGAGGCACCTCAGGCAAGAACTGAAAACTTCCTGAACCCTGACCCCAAAAGAGAGTTTAGGGTGTTGGGTTGGGCCCTTTAGGGTGCGAAGGTTCAACTGCGTTGCAAAGGCCCCAGAGAAGAAGGGCATAGCAGCTTAGCCATTGTCAGTTCAACTGCTGCGACGGACTTATCATTGTGATACAGGGATCTATGGATTCGGCAGAGCAGGTCAGCAGTCTGGTAACCGCACCGCACACAACCTTAACTATCTGCCTGAACGACCTCAGCAGAGACTACTGGGCCCACCTCGATGTCCACGGCAATGCATGCCACAGGTTCCCCCTTGGTGTTCTTCACAGAAACCTCCGAATTCTTCTGGGTTTTGGGAATCTGGCTCTTCTCTGATTGCAGCTTGGGTGTATTTAGAGATTCTTGGATTCCCTAATTTAGGGCTTGTGAGTTTAGAGATTCAAGGATTTGGGAGGGCTGCGTGGGGCGAAAGCTTGCTTGCGGGTGGGCAGCTCAGGCCGAGGCGGGTCGCGTAGCGTTAAGATTACATGGCAATCAGTAAACTATAGTTGGGGCGTCGTTGTTCATGCTCATCAGGTTCGTGGTTATTTGTGAACTCAAGAACATGCATCCATTCGCCGGATTTTGAGCCTGTGCAACACATCGCCTGTGGAAAATGAGCTGTGCAAGATCACACTCAGGGCTGCACACATGTCCCTTTGCTATATAAGGGGGCCATGCCTGCCCGGCATGGCGCGGCAGGATTCGGGCTAGTAGGTCACGAAGTCGCATGCGTACTCACAGCCACCGCCAGCCTCACAATGTCCGTCACAAGTGGCACCGCATGAAGCACACAGATTGACGTTGCCAAGGCTGGTGTTGAAGGGGTCGACATAGCAGTGCCCTGCCAGCGCTTGACAGCGTGCCTTGCATGTCACCGCGCTCGATGAAACCGATGCAATCTCACAACCCAGCTTGCAGCTGGGAGTTGCGCAGCCGCTGTCACGGTCGCAGCAGTAGCCCTCCGCGGAACATTTCTTGCGGCATTGGGCAATCTCCCAATTTGCCATCGCCACAGTGGTTGTCGTAGTTGTGTAGGCCATGAGGGAGCAGGCGTGCTCGCATCCGCCCTCGCCCTCACAGTGATTGGGGCAGGAGCCCTTGCAGGAGGAGCAGAGATTGGCCCATTGGCCTGCAACTGTGGGGAAGCAGCCGGATCCATCATAGAGGGACCGGCACGTCTCTCGGCAAACGGTGGCGTTCGGCGACTCTGTGGCGATCTGGCATCCAAGCACGCAACTCGGTCGCGCACAGCCGCTGTCCCTGCCACAGCAATAGCCATCCTCGGAACATTGCGCCTGGCAGGCCAAGGTTGGGTCTGGCGAAGATGGTGAGGTCGTGGTCGTGGTGTCCGACAGAGGAATATCCGACCAGGAGATGTTGTAGGTCTGCTTGTGGAACTGGCTCTTGATGGCGCCAGTCTCGTAGTCGTAGTCCAGAAGCCGCACCCTCCACATCAGCGTCCTCGTGCCATCCGCGTGCTCGTCCAGGTGAAACTTGTTTCCCGCTGACCCGGAAAACTCACCCCTCAGCGACATGGAAGCTCCCACGTAGCCCAAGCCTGCTGGCACTGGAGTGATGGGAAGCACCTCATGCACGTACTTGTCAGTGTTGATCCTGACATAATAGTAAGGCCACTCACGATCGTACCTTGCGATCCACTGCCTCTGCACCAGGGCTCCTGGGGCACCGTAGTAGTAGAGGTCGCCATCCCAGTTCCACTCGTCCGTCATGTGCTCGTCAGCCTTGAACTTCGTCCAGTGCTTCGGGCCCGTCACGACGGCCGTCTCCCCGTCGACGATCACTTTGGGCAGCGGCTCCTCAGGAGACTTTGGGATGAAGAGCTTGAAGGCCGGATCGCCGTAGAGGGCCACGTTCATCATCACGTACTCTGCTAAAACGTAGCCGTCCTGGTCCTCTCCGTTCATTACAGTTCTACGCACCTTGTGGCATGACCTGACATCTCCTCTGCACTTCTACAAGAGTCTGCACACACGTGTGAGCATACTCTACAAGGAGCCTAGGATAGGGCCCGCTAGACTGCCCTACTGCTCACGTCACAGAGGGGGTGTCCTTGTAGTTGACAGCCACATCGTTCCAGCCCTCCAAGAAGGCCTCTCCGATACTCTTCCCTTCCGCGATGCCATTCCAGAGAGCCTTGGTAGCCCAGAAACCCCATCTTATAATACAGGTTTAGGGTTTAGGGTTTAGGGTTTAGGGTTTATAGGGTTTAGGGAAACCATAGTACAATAAGGGTACCCATTTTTTGTGTTGGCTACTTCAAAAGGGAATCTTGAACCAAAAACAGGGAAAAGGGTGTCTAGGATGGCCCAAAACCCTCTGAAAAAACATTCCTGGACATGATCCGCCTAAACCCCAAAAAGGAAGGTGACAAATGGTGACTAATGTCCCAAGGGCCTACCTAGTACTCCATAAGGGAACCTCGAACCCCACAAAGGGGGCAAAGGGGTACTTGGAGGTTCATGAATTTACTAGCCAACTTCTCCTGTACTTATAACTGTACTTATAACTGTACTTATAACTGTGCTTATAGCTGTACTTACTATAGCCATATTGGGGCACTTACGAGGCTTAAAATTGGGCTATAAGTACAGTACCTGAAAACTACCAAGATCTACCAAGGAGCACTGTGCACCAGACCGGAAGCCGTGATGGCATTGCGTGGGCCTCCCAGAGGCAGGTTTAGGGCTTTTAGGGCTTTAATAGGGTTTTAAGGGTGTTCAGGGTTTAGGGTTTAGGGTTTAGGCCGATCTGGCATTGCTTGGGGGCCTCCCAGGAAGCCGATGGCGCCGTAGTGCAGTAGGGTCAGCACCACGGAGCCTTGCTTCTCCAGGTAACCAGGGAGTACGTCAAGGAGTTTAGGGTTTAGGGTTTAGGGTTTAGGGTTTAGGTTTAGGGTTACTTTTTCAAAATACTACTAATTATAAGGAACCCCCCCCCCCCCCCAAGAAAGGTTTTCAAAGTCTAACTCTTTTGGCTCAAAGAAAAGGTGAGGAGCTCATGGGGTCTGAGAGCTTGTCTAAGCCGGCGGTGGAGCAGCCTCCAGAGCTCACCATCATCGGGCTCAGCAGGACTTGGGAGGAGAAGTCCAAGGAATTTCCCATGCCGCCCGCGCCCGAGTGGTCTGTGTGAAGAAAGGCGGAGGCCCGGATCTTCTTCAGGTTCTGAAGCTCCTTGAAGCCGATCGACACAGGCTCCTCGAAGCCCACATTCCTGAGAGCTGGGCGGATGTTGGCCATTGCCGTCTTCAGGTGCCCGCTGATGGCGAACTTTGCCTCGCTCTCAGCGTCCCGGACGTACTCGTAGTTGGAGATGCGGGAAACCAGCAGGCTTGTGGATGAGAGATCGCGACCGACCACGCGTCCCAAGGCGACGTCCAAGAAGACGTCCTCATCCAAGTCCGCGTAAGGCGCATCCCGGCACTTCTGCTCATTGAAGAGCCTCCCGGTCTCACAGTGGGGCGGTAGGGCGCTCGGGCCGCCCACGAGGGCCAGGTATTTGGGCATGCCCTGGCCGACGAAGGTCTGGATCTGGTCCTTGGCCTCATTAGCGGAGATGCTTCCACCCGACAGGGGGAGCACCGCCCCTCCCCGGAGGGCTGCGAGAACTGGAGCCATAGCTGACCTCAGAAACCCCTTTTTGGGTTTAGGGTTTATGGTTTTTAGGGTTTGGGGTTTAGGGCTTTGCGTAGAAGAGTCTTTAGAGGGGGGTGGCTCTGCCATTCTTCGGTGGGTCTTGGGGCGTGGCATTTAGGAGGTGGGGTCGACGCCCCCCAAAGATACTCCTTAGCAATAAACTTAGTTGTCCAGTACCCTGGGGGAATTAAAGGTTAACCTTTGGGATGATAAGGGGATTATACTACCCCAAAAAGGTTAAAGGGTACCTACTCTACTACTGGGTAAAGGCCCTTTTGTTGCCAAAGAATGGGAGTTCTTAATTTGGAGCTTTGCAGGGTACTTGGCTGAATTACAATTTATGAGGCTCAGGGTATTCAGGGCGCTTTGGGCTCTTGTGGTTAGGTTAGGCCCCCCCTACACCCCAAAACCCTAAAACCTGAACCCTAAATCCCCCTAAACCCGAAACCAGCAAGCCCACTTCAGTACTTGGATTGAGGGTTAAGGTTCAGGGTTCAGGGTGAAAAGTAGGGTTTGACACGCTTCACGCAGGAAGATGCCTCTAGCACCTGGCATGGACCTGTGCCTGTCCAGTTCGCTCTCTATAGGAGAGAGGTTATGTCCCTATAAACCCCACTCCCTTGTCGACCCTAAACCCCGCAAACCTCGAATGCATCGCATCATGATGTATGTGTATATGACCATATATATATATATGTACATGTAAATATAGTATACGACTACGCAGATAAGGAATGCAAACGAGGCCCAAAGAATCCCAAGAAGCTCCAGTTTCCTGAGAACCCCCTGGTAACCCGTCGAGCCCAAGCCCGAAACAAAACCTGACCCAAAAAACCTGACACCCCTAAAACCCTTCTGAGCCCACTCAAAACCCCCAAAGCCTCAACCCTCCCTCAGCCCTTCTGAGCAACAGGCATGGAGCGATAGACTTGCATCTCTCGATCAGCCGGGTTGGCGACGGCCAGGTAGTCGGGCTTTCCCAATGCGTCGAAGACTTCGGCTGCACTCTCCAGCTGAGTCTGCTGCAGACCCGGCACCAGTTCCGCCACGGGTGAACCGACATAGAGCCTCTACTCCCCTTAGAACCTTAACAAAAAATCATATGCTTAATATCTTCTTGGGTTTTACATGAACAAAAAAAATTCCCAAGGGGGATAGAAGAAGCAGGGTCTGGGCCTTGAGCTCACCAGCCAAGGTCGCCAGATCCACTTCATCACTCACCAGGACCAGTGGCGCAGCTTTCTTGGCCGCCAGAGGGGCAGCCATGAGTGCAGAGGCGTAGTCGTCGCACCGGGCCAAGACCACCTCGGAGGCCTGAGGCCAGATTTCGCGGGCCAAGGCTGCTGAGGCTTCGCAAGGCGTGCCCCCTCCCAAAACCTTCACGTCGCCCAGCTTCCCCTCCAAAGTCCCCAAGCCGCCGGCACCTGCGGCGCCTGCGGCATAGGTCGTCTCAGGGCGATACTGCTCCACGAAGTCCAGGAAAGCCGTCTCGTCCCCGCTTTGCGGCATCACCAAAAGCGCCGGCTCGCCAGCTGTCTTCGAGGCTGCCGGGATGGTGGCAAGCAGAAGCATCACCTCCACGTCATGCGGCAGGAGGAAGAGGCTGCGAGCAAATCCAGGGGGCTTGGCTTTGGGGGACGCGAGACTGGCTCCAGTCGTGGTCGTTGTCGTTTCTGCATGTGCAAAACACTCACACAGCCTCGCGTAGTGGCTGGTCCCCGCGCAGGTGCGAGTCTTGGTCGTGCCGTAGGCACACAGACCCACGCATGCACCGCCACAGCAGCTGGAGTCAACACAAATCCCAGGGTTGTTGTCGTAGGCCCAGCCATGCACCGACGTGCAGTTGTAGCCCACTTTCTCGGCGACAGCCTGGATCCCGGCTTTGGTGTCGACATCAAACATGCTGGAATCGTGACAGAACTTGCCCGCGGAATCGCAGACATCGTTGCAGCTCTGCCCAGTGGCCCCAACGTCCTGCCAACTTGCAGCAAACCACGGCTCTGCGCAGGCGGAAAACCTGGGTCATCATAGCAGCTGAGCACAGCCGCAACACAAGGAAGTGCCAGCAGCAATGCTGGACCGGCTGTCATATAGGCCATCTCAACGGGGCCTACGGTAGATAAAACGGGGCAAAGTCCATATATGGTGAACTTGAAAGCTCTTGCAAGAAGCAAGCGTCGAACAAGCGGTGGGGGTGATTCAAGGGTGTATAGGGTGAGACGACGGCTCTGGCTTAGGGATTCAGGGAAAATTCCGGGGATGCCCAAGGTTTCTTGAAGTGGGGTTGAGGCATCACCAAGTTTTCTCGATCCTTGAGGGTAAATCCTAAAATCCTAAACCCCAAGCCTGAAGCCTGGTGGTCGTTGTCGCGATCGCGGATGTGGTGGTGGCGTCGGTGGTGGTAGTGGTAGTCGTCATATAGTGATAGTCGTTGCCGTCGTAGTAGTCGCTGTTGTCGTGTACTAGTGCTGCTAATGCTCGGAGGAGGAAGCCTAGCCTGATAGACCTAACCTCAGGGCCACAGCTTCAGTTCCGCGCCATCAATCCTAAACAGGCGCAAGTTTCACAATGAGCTACCAACCCTAAACACTAAAACCTAAGCCCCACAGAGTCAAAGCGCATGAACCCCTGTGGGGCCTGCCCCTTCAACAGCGCTTCGCCCGGGTCTTGCGGCAGCGTGACGGGTCCAATCCTTGCGCTGGGGCTCAGTTGAATGCAGAATATGCCATTTGCCATAACACTATAAACCCTAAACCCTACAACCCTAAACCCAAACCCTCTATCCCTACTTAAGGGGTACAGTATGCGCTTCTTACATAAAGGCAAAGCCGAAGACCCCTCGAAACCTCAACCCCAAACCGAATCCCGAATCCCCATGATCCCTAAACCCGAAAGCCCGAACAAACAAAAGACGAGACTCAACCCAAAAACCATACATCCGCAAAGCCGAAAAAACCTTCAAACCGCAAAACCCTAAAACCCAAGGCTACATGGACCGGCGTTTTTAGGGCTCTGGGCTTTCGGGTTTGGGTTTGTGGCGGCCTCAAGTTCAGGGTTTCGGGCTGGGAGGTGATAGGCTTTCAGTTTCAGGGCGCTTTTTTTGTTTAGTTCATTGGCCTATCTACATTTGTTGTTCTTTGTTTGTTGCTCTTTTTTTTTTTTTTTGGGGGGGGGGGGTGTTTTCGGGCACTTGGAAGTTCATGAGTGGGTGACTGCAACTACCAGTATGGCCTTACTGAGGGCACTGATGACCCTGCTTTATGCCTAGCCGTGAACCTCCAACCAAGTATACAGGGTAACTATAATCTTCCTTACAGGGTACATATAACCTACTGAAATCCCTAGCCATGAACCTCCCAGTCCCTAAGCCCTAAGCCCTAAGCCCTAAGCCCTAAGCCCTAAGCCCTAAGCCCTAAGCCCTAAACCCTAAACCCTAAACCCCAAACCCCAAACCCTAAACCCTAAACCCTAGCCTCCGGGGCTTCTCAAAGGAGCATAGAACTCCACGAGTCGAGGGCTTCGGATATCCGGGGACTCCTACTTCGGACCCCCAGGGTGGCACCCTTCGGTCTAAGGACCCCATTTATAGAACCTATTTGCTTAAGAACCCCCCCCCCCCCAAAAAAAAAAAAAAAACGAACAAAACAACTTCCTTATAAGGGTAATATAGGGATTGTTGTCATGCTTTTTCCTATTTTGGGGGGGTTTCTTGAGCAAATAGTAGTTAAGAGTTAAGACACCTCAAGGTAATGTAAGGGCCATATAGTAGGAGTGTATGACGGGAAACCTTCAGGGGGTACAACTTGACAACCTTAGGGGCACGAGCCTTCGTCCCTTGAGGCCGCCCTGCACCTAAAGAGCAAAACCTAGCCCATCCAGCCGGGTTTTAAAGGGCAGTTCGGTTATTCAAGCTGCTAGCCCGCAAGTCACCCCCCTGAACCCTAAACCCTAAACCGAAAACCCTCAACCGAAATCACTCCTGGGTCCGCGGCACAATTTTCATGGGCCCCTTCGCCTCGGGGATTTCTCGGATCTCCAGGGCTCTAGTTGCTTAAAAGGTGTGAAACGGACCGCCCGGAAGCGTACCCTAAATCATGCAGGCCAGAATGGTGCGTCTGAGCACCATAACCCCCCAAAAAAACCCGAAACCCGAGTTGTTGGGCTTTGCGGCGTTTATAACAGAGGGGTTGAGGAAGAGAGGGATGGGCGGAGGGGGGTTCTAGAATAGGGGCCTGTTTGGGGTCACTGCTATCATACCGAAGAAGCCAAGAAGTCAGGTCAACTACACATGATAGTTTTTCTGAGGGAGCCGGATCAAAACTCCATCTGTCCATTCCCTAGATTGGTATTGCCAGAAGTGAGGCAAAAACAGCATTCGCATTGGAAAAGGCTCATTCTCATTCGCCAAACAAACACTGCCCCAGCTGTCCTTGCCAAACTGCATGAAGTTTAGGGTTTAGGGCATAGGGTTTAGGAGGGTTAGGAAGCGAAAAGGAAACCGTCGTGTGGTGTGGAGCTTTACGGGCGCATAGGGGTGAGGGAATTGGGTTTAGGCTACTGTTGCCGCCGGACGCTAACAATAAAACCGGACTCCTAGGATGTTCTGCTTGCCGGGTCTAGAGGATTTGGGACTGAAAGCTTGGGCTTGGAATTCAAACCCAAACCCCTGGCCTGTGAGAACCAAGCCACCCAAGAAAGAATTTGGGTTTAGAGTATGAACACTAAAAGCCTAAACCTAAACCCGAGGACTCAAGTGCCAGCTCGGCGCTACCCCAGGAGACAGGGAGTACGAAGTCTTCGCATTGACTGCCTCGATGCAGGGGATTGAGATGACCAGTTTGCGAGTTGCAGGGCTTGGGGTTCTAGGTTTTAGGGTTGGGGCTTTGGCGCACGGCTGGATCCTCCAACACCCCATCCCCAAAAAGGGGACCACCCCCAAACCTTGCGGGATGTTCCCCTCAATACTAACAGTCCTTAAGAGGGATTATAGTACCCCCGATTATCACCCCCATTAAGGACTGTTCGTAAAGGGGAACATCCCAACCCAACCCTGAATTTGGACCCTCAACGCGAAACCCTAAACCCCTGGCAGGTCGCACGGCTTAGGCCTGCCGGCTCTTCAGGTCTTGGCAGCCCAGCAGCCATACGAAAATAAGGACACCCTTTTTTTGGGGTTGGTTAAAAAAGGGAAAAGGGTACCACTGGGCTACCAAAAGGTACAGACCCTGAATCTCTACCAAGAGGTACAGATCCCGAATCTGCTAAGAGCCAGGAATTTTAGGGTTTGGGGTGGCACAGATGTTCATTTTCCCAAAATAGGGGTCCCCCTGTTGTACCCCAAACAGAATAGAATCCCTAAAAGGGACCCCTCCCCCAAAAAAGGGCACGCCTATTTTCGGGAACCCCCAGATCACCTAGACTTAAGAGCAACCTAGGAAAAAAAAGGGTGCCCGTTCTTGGCTTAGAGGGGTTCATAGAGGGAACCGAAGCCCTGAAAAAAAGGAATGAGGGCCTACTCTGGGTCCTAGCCACTGAAGAGCAAAACTTCCGAACCTGGGGCGGCTCAGGGCTTAGTAAGGTTCCAGGAAGACAAAGGTACCCACTTTGTTAGGGGCATATCGGACGGATTCTCGCCCCTCACAAAACGGAGAAAAACACAAGGGATGCGGAATACACCGCATACCCTCCCCAAACCCTAAACCCTAAACCCTAATACCCCCCCCCCGGCAGCCAGGAAACAAAAGAACAGCCCTTCCCCATACGGAGGTTGTCATCTAGCAACACAAGTGTGCGTAACCTTCAAACTGAAGATTTTCCTGATGCGATATAACGATAGTTGTAAATAGAAGCGATATATATATATATATATATGTGATATACGTATATAGACATAATGTGTATATATGTATGTATATGTATATATGTATGTATGTATGTATGTATGTATGTATGTATGTATGTATGTATGTATGTATGTATGTATGTATGTATGTATGTATGTATGTATGTATGTATGTATGTATGTATGTATGTATGTATGTATGTATGTATGTATGTATATGTATGTATGTATGTATGTATGTATGTATGTATGTATGTATGTATGTATGTATGTATGTATGTATGTATGTATGTATGTATGTATGTATGTATGAATATATATATATATATACACATACATACATACATATATATATATATATAGAGAGAGAGAGAGAGAGAGAGTTAGATATGTCTAGATAATATGTTTTCCTTTTATGTACTTAATCTTCACCAGGAAAATGACAATATTACTACTGATATAAATCTATACATACTGGAGGGTGGGTGGTTTTTACGACTCACCCAGCTCTGAACCCAAAAAACACTAAACTCTGGACTCTGGCCTTCACAGGGAGAAATGTAAGCTCTAAGTCTTGGGGGCTGAGCCCAAAAAAAGGTTAACCTTTTATTTGCAATAGGATTCTACGTAACCAAAGAAGTTCCCTAAACCCTAAACCCTAAACCCTAAAAAGTTTAGCTTTAAGGTTGAAGGCCTTCTGCTCAGGCAGTGGGCAGCTCCTAGAAACCTTCAGTGACTTGAACACCTTTGGGGTTTAGGGTTTAGGGTTTAGGGTTTGCAAAGCCCTGCAGCCTTACGCCTTGAACCCTGCAGTCCTGGTTGTCCTTTCCATCCACAACTCATCAACATGTTGTGCGAGCAGAAACCCAGTTGCTGTCCACATTGCGAAAATTTCAACGTTCCCAAGAGGGCTTAGCCCTTGGGAATTACGTCAGAATGCTTTGAAGCAACTGAGGGTTCAGAAAACGACTTGAGCAAAAGCCCGAGTATGGGCTAGAGTACAGCCCAAGCCGGGCGAAGAGCAACAGGAGGCCAGACCAAAATGAGCCATGAGTACTATGAGTCAAGGTTAGGGATTTAGGGCTAGCACCCTAAACCCTAAACCCTAAACCCTAAACCCCAAACCCTAAACCCTAAACCCTAAACCCTAGACCCGAGTTCCATCACAGGAGCGGGGCGATGTTGCTGAAAACGACAGGCTCTGCCATGCAGCACGGTCTGTAGCAGCTGTAAAACACCGTGGGGATATACTCCCATTTAGGGTTTTCTTAACGTCAAAAAACCCTTTTTAGGGTTTTAGGGTTTCTTAACGTTAAAAAACCCTTTTTAGGGTTTTAGGGTTTTTTAACGCTAAGAAAACCCCAAGTCCCTCAGACTTCTGTTCGCTTTGTGTTCAAGTTCGAACAACCACTTCCCAACGCCTTCAGTCCTCCCTCTGAGCCCACTGGAAACCCTAAACCCTAAACCCCGAAACCCTAAAACTGGAAAGCGAACAGATCGTCTCAGAAGGCCACCTCGACTAAAGAATCCTCCGCGTCGTCATCAGAGGCGAAGCTCGATCCGCTCAGCTGGTAGCGGAAGCGATCCCCCAAGCCCCCTGCAGTGTCCTTGGGTTTATAGGGTTTAGGGGGTTTAGAGGGTTTATAGGGTTTATAGGGTTTAGGGAGTTTAGGGTCCTTGGGTTGAGGGTTTTTCCCTGTAGGGGTTTCGGGTTTAGGGAGGTCACAAGCCCTGGTCAGGAGTTCAGGGTGATTCAATGCGGGATGTGGGCTTAGGGGGCTCGGTTCAGGGTGTTTCCTGTCAACACATAAGTTTACGTGATACACGCACAACCACGAACACGGACATGCAGAAAACACCGAAACACACAAAAAAAAAAAAAAAGAACACACAGAAACGCGGGCTCAAATACAGGCACAAAACAACTCAAAAACCAAGCGCGCCCACCCACCCACAGAGAGAGAGAGAGAGAGACACTTCCTGCTTTCCTTCCTTTCCTGCCTTCAAGCAGCTTGCTGGTTCTTAGTAGGGAACGGGGGAATGAGGAACCCTACATAATCCCTTGAAGGGTAAAAAAGTGCCCTAATTCCCTCATTCCCTACTAAGAACCTGGGAAACTTGACCATCAGATGTTTTTTTTTTTTTTTTTTCTCTCTCTCTCTCTCTCTCTGTCTCTCTCTTTGTTCATTTGTTCACTCTGCTACCACGAGGGTCCATATAGTGTAAACTTACTTAGCTCTATAGAATCCTATAGAAACCCCCTTAAGGGGGCACATGGGCCCTTTTGGGCTATGGCTTGAAGGTGTCGGATGGAGCGAAAAAAGGCCGGCCCATGAGTGCGTGAACACGGTGGAACAGTGTGTGGGGCGCCTTGTGTTCCCCCCCCCCCCCCCCCCCCTCCACGGGCGCCCCCGGGCTCGAAGATTCTGCAGGCATCCCGCCTTTGTGAGGGTCGCCCTGGTAAAGTGGAGCGTGCTTCGGCGTGCTGACTTAGCCCCATGGGGCCAAAGACGTTGGACTGCGGGTGGTATACCCGGCCCCCTCGGTCCTCTTCGTAACAACCAATGATCACTGTGAGTGTGCCGGAAACACTCTTGGGTGGTGTGAAAACCTGGATGGTTCCAGGGAGACTCGAGAACGATCGTCGTGTCCAGCTCGCATTTGTTGCTAGAATGCTACAGTAGAATGTGCCGGATGTGAACCAGGATTGCTCCGGCGATCTACTCCTGGAGCCCTTGCGTTGGAAGGCGGTTGGTGGGGGGCTGTTTTGCGATGTTCGCCAATTTCAGCCCTCATGGGTCTTCAGCGACGGCAGCCTGGCGTCAGACCAGGAGCGGGCTCGGAAAGATGCAAGTCTCACGCTGTCACGACAAGAAACCTGCCAAACATCGCGGGTACTCAGATGTTGGACTCAGTGTGGAGAAATCTGAAATCTTTGGAAGCTCCCACAACCGCAAAGCGGGTCACGGCGAGCATGCAACCGCCAATGGAGTTCGGCTCCACCAATTGCTTCGGCACCCACAGCTCACACAGCCCACAGAGTCAACAAAAAGACACTCTCGTGGACTTGAGAATTTCGGTTCTCGGGCGGGTTTAGGCTGTGGGGCTGAGGATTTAGGGTTTAGAGCTTAGGGTGTATGCTTCGGGTTTAGGGCTTACAAACTGCAAGAAATGGACTGGGGACATGTGATCTGGCTCCTGGGCCGTTGAGCAAAGCCAAGTGAAAAGTGGAGCGTAGTTATGGGCCGCACGAATAGTCATGAATAGTCTAGAACTTGGGATATTCTCCCTTATGCTAACAGTCCTTGATCGGGATTACAATAGGGGGTTAGAACTGTTAGTGTAAGGGCAATCCAGAACCCATGATGGCCCTCCCTGCCAGAGCACCAGAAATACTGGCCAAACCAAAAGCCACTGCTGTCAGCTACAACCCTAGTTGCTGGGTACCCTGGCCAAAAAAAGGTGGCAAACCTTTCAACTCTTTTAGGATTGTATGTACCCCCCAAAAGGTCAAAGGTTGTCTACTCAGCTACTGAGAGGAAACTGCCAACTGAAGGCCTGGAGCACGCAAGCCGGCAGCTGCGTGAATGACACAGTCTTAAGCAGTACATAACCTGGAATTCACCTGACGAATGTGCCTTTCAAACAAGCAAGCCAACAAACAAGCAAACACCAAAAAGCACACAAAAAAACACACACAACCAAATGGCACCAAATACACAATCAGGCAAACAAAAAACAAACACATCCAAAACCAAACATGAATGAAGCAATACGAACCTGTCATCTACTGAAGCAAAGCATCCATCATCAGGCCCTTGCCATTCAGCTCCCGATCGAGAATCAGCTGCCCAACCTTACTGGCAAAAATCTCCAGGGGCAAAGGCTGAGTTCTCTCCGGGAAAAAGGACTTTATACCTGTGGTTTTACACTAGTATTCAAGGAGGATTCTAGTCGCCAAAAAAATT